GTCCGTGTAATTTTTCAATTAAGTGACCCAAACAGGCATCCACGATGCTTTCTCACTCGGTGGCTGTCCGCGGGGAGAACGGCTCCTTGCTGGGCTCCCTGCACCTTCCCCAGCTGGGGAGAGGCGGCCCGGACCTGCGTCCTATCAGCCTTTCTACGTATCTGAAAGACCTTCGCCAAATATTTGAAAGTTGTTCGAAGTTGCTGAGGTGGCGCCTTCGGAAGAGGCTGGAATGTGGGGAAACAGCGCTGACATTTTAAGTGATTGTGAAGGTCAGGCTCCCAGTGCAATCGCCCTGGTGCTGGGCAGCTCCACTCCTCACTTTTGAGTAAATGCAGGTGTGATAATACAGGGATTAATCTTATCACTCAGGCCACGGCCTGAAAGCCAAACATTCAGAGGGAACCACGTGCATTTCCCTCATTTTCATGGTCCTGGTTTTGAATGAGCGCACAGAGCAACCCGCTGCTGGCACGCCGCCGGGCACTGTAAGGAGACGGGAGCGGCCACTGGTCTAGGAGGTTTGGGGCCTGAAAGCCAAACATTCAGAGGGAACCACGTGCTCCCTCATTTTCATGGTCCTCCTGGTTTTGAATGAGCGCACAGAGCAACCCGCTGCTGGCACGCCGCCGGGCACTGTAAGGAGACGGGAGCGGCCACTGGTCTAGGAGGTTTGGGGCAGAATTCGCCAGAGCCTTCCCCTCCTGTCTTGGTCTTTAGTTCTGTGAAAGGTCTGCCTGGAGAGGTCATCTCAAACCAAGAGAAAGCGTGTCAGGAGGAAGTGGGCACTTCCCAAAGGCAATATTGCCAAATATTTATCTACCAAAATGAGGAGAATGATAAAGGGCGGTCATTTGACAGCCAGCAGTTCAGCCTCCTGCCTGGGTTAGAAGTAGAAGGTACTTCAAGGCCCCTCAGTGTGTCCTACAGGCTCCTGGGAGTTTTAACAAGTGAACCTGGGAAGACTCATGTTTTTCAGAGTGTGTTCTGGAAGGACTGGTGCTTGGGGATAGTCCACGGAAGAGAAACCTGGGAAGCAGACGGGGGCCCGCCCTGGGATTTCACAATTTGCATTAACAGCAAAGACACTCAAAAGCCTTTCAGTTAAAGAAAGAAAAAAGAAACGCAGCCTTAACTTCTGTGACCTCGAAATGCCGCTGCGTCCCCTCCCCCAGAGCATCACCTCTCTGTCCCTCCCTTTACCTTCAGATATTTTGCAGAGAACTCAGCTGCTGACTTGGCTCAGAAGGCACTCAGATACTGTTTGAGTTACAGGATGTTAAAGGCGGAAGATCCCTTACAGATACTCTTGGTCCCCGGTTACGAACTTGATTCTACACTGCGGCCTGCCCGGCAGGGGTTGGCTGGGAGGCCCAGGTCTGTCTGTCTCATGATTGCTCAGTTGGAGGGAGTGAGCAGAGAGGACAGTGGGTTTATTTTGTTTAGTGGGGTGAATTGTTACTGGGCGTTTAAAAAAAGAAGATTGGCGCTTAAATACTTTTAATTCTCCTTTTTGTTAGAAAGAGATGACAGTTGCATTGCAGCAATAAAGCCTTTAGCCCCTTTCTCCTGCCAGGAGGGTTACAACCCCTGCAGGAGGTGTGAGCACAGGCCGAGCCTTTCTTTTGTCCTGGAAGCAATCTCCTGGCCACCTGCTGATAGTGTTCCCTCTGAGTTATTTTTCAGGGATCCTCCCCCCGCATCCCCTGCCTCCTGCTAGGAGTTGGCCCAGGACTCTCAGTTCTTGCTCTAACCCTAACCCTGCCCCTCGGGACTCCAGACCTCACATTTCCGAGCTGGAAAGGACCTCAGGACACGTAGTCCAGACCTTTTGCACATTAAGGGGCTGAGTCCCCAGTGGGTTACAGCGCCAGGTCTCGAACCCAGGCCTCCCAGCTGCTCTGCTCCTGCCTGCTGATCAATGGCTTGGGCAGTCCTCAAGCCACTTGAGTGGCTTTAAAAAATATACAGGTTCTTGGGCTGAGGCCCAGAAACTCAAGTGTTTGTAAAGCTGCTCTGGGGAGTCTAACGGCCAGTCCCATGCGGTGTATGACAGCCACTTGAGGCCATCTCTGTGGGTTAAGTCAAGTGGCTCCAGGGCAAGGGAGGTCTCACTCCTCTGTCCCCAGTGACCCCCATGGTGTCAGCATCCCCAGCAGGCATTTGGTTGGGGTTTGTAGAGCACATGAGCCTCACAGGGTGCAAGGTGTCCTGGCTGGGGTGGGCTGGGAGCAGCAGAATGATGCTGTCATGGTTCATAGGTGTGTAGTGTAGTAGCTGAGCTGACCCCTAATAACAGCAAATATAATTTTTTAAAGAGTAGATTATTAAGCAGAGGGAGGATAGAGAGTCAGACAATGAAGTCTTATCTTCATTAAGGCAAAGAGATTTTACGTGTTGAATCCTGATATTCAGTAATATGCATTATATAGTCAAGTGACCTGGAGCAAAATACCTGTGAAATTCTAGTCATTGTTCATGAAACACACACACAACAAAACAACAAAACATGCATAGCATTTTGCTTAAATTTAAGAAGTCTTACTGGCCAGTTTTGTTCTTGTTTTGGTCTGTATTTAGGCATTTGTCTCTTGCATATACTGATATTCTAGTAAGAGCTCAGAAACTTAACTCTCCTACTGAAGTAAAAATAAAAAATACAGCTCAACCATGAAGCTAGCTGCTGTGTGGGGCAACAAAAGAGTTTTCTGCTGAATGTGGTCAGTGTGAAAAATATACTGACCTCATTTTCCTTGAGGGGTTCGGGCATGTGCAGCACCAGCTTTTCCCTACTTGTGTCTAAGATAAGTCATTTTGTTAGAAAATTCTGACATAGTACATAGTCGTAGAAAGACCTATTTTTTTTTAATCAATTGAGGGCTAACTTAACTCCCATATCTAACGTTATTTATCAATTCCCATTATGAATAGCGGAGTAGGATGAGGTCTGGTTCCTTACGTGTTCTGACACTTTAGACCTCACAGTATGACTCTGTGTCTGAGCGTCAATGGAGGAGCATTTGGAAGGAGACATGAATTATTAAATTATCGACACCATCAGCCACATGGCTCTGCATGTGTATATGGGGCCGGGGGTACATGAGCAAAATTAAACTTTAATTGTCACCACCCCTTCCGAACAAAACTGAGGTGTTTAGTATGTTGGCCAGCCTTCTCGGGTAGCTTTTCAGTGATGGCTGCTCCTGCACACGCCTGCACCCTCACCACGCCTGCTGGCGGTGCCTCCTGCAGCGAGCGTGGCCTCTGAGGAAAGTGTGATCTAGGAGACACACCAGGACGATACAGATTGCAAAGCATGTGCTCTTGTCCCGTCTTTGCACGAGGTTTGGGTGTTTGGACTTCAAGTTCCTGCACCTCTGACCTGTCGTGGGCCACCTCCCGTTGATTGGGGCGGCGCTGCTAATATGAGCGCCAGCTTTCACCACCTGTTGAGTTCACCAAAACCAGTTGCTGGGCGCGGAAACCTCTCACAAAGGTTGTGAAAAGGAGCTGGGCTTTAGAAGTTTCCTTAATTTCCAAAGCCTGATTTCTTTCAAAGCCCCTGGATAAGTGGACCAAGATATGTATAGAAATGGTCCTGTTTTCTGAGTAAATGTTTTATTTTAAATTTCGGTAGAAGTTTATGCTGCGTTCAGCACATCATTAAGGATCCGTACACTGGGAAATAATTTCCATAGTCTTCATAAACATGGACTGTTGAACATGCCCCTAAGGCAGTACCTCTGTGGTCCTTTGTCCCCGAGAGCACTTGGAGGTGTGTGGGTCCTGGTGGGTGTCCCGCTGACTGGGCACTGGTGTGGTTAGGCGCTGGCCATTCTGCAGGACTGGAGGTCGTCTTGCAAACCAGTGCTGTGCTGCCCGAAGGCCAAGATCACCCTGTGGGAAACACCGCAGGGTAACGACTAGTCAGGTGACACACACACCCCCTTGAGGTCAGGCGGCCTGGCCACTCACTGGTCATTTACAGCTTATTCTTGTATTATTACTTGTTAATTACAGGCAGCCCCCAGGGACTCGACGTATGTTGTTTCGTGGTTATGTTGCCATCTCCCATATATTTATAAAAAAAAAGTTCTGTCATTTCAACGTATGTACATATGTGCTTTATGTTTATTATTTATTTACCACAAGTAGAGGTTAGGAATTGTTATCTTTCTTTTACATTTTTTTTACTGTTTCACTTCATTACTGCTGTGTCTGTGCTCCATGTGAGTGACGTAGGTGCTTATGTAGGTGGGTTCCGACTTACGGTGAACATTGAGTTACGTCGCCGTAGGAACGGGTCTCCCACGTCACCCAGGACCTACTGTATTGTGTTTTCCATATAAACAGCAGTAAACCTACGTTTGCCCACCCAGTGGATCCTCTCCCTTCCTGTCCTGGTCTGAGTTCTCGGAGCCTCACTCGGCTGTTGTGGGGTCAGAAGGAGGTGGTGCGCGGGAAATCCACTGACCGTAGTCAGAGGACTTTTGCAGAGAAGGGCACAGACCTGAGTGTGAATGTGCTGAAGAAGGCAGGCCTGCATTCGGGTCCAGACTGTGCACGCCGAGACCCCTCAGCTACCTCCCGTCAGCCGGGGAGTGTGCGTGTGTGCGTGTGCGTGCGCGTGTGCACGCGGGTGTGTTGACGAGACTGATAATGGAACAACCTGCGTGTGGCTGAGTAGCTCCGAGTGGAAGGCTCAGGAGAGGATTAAGAGAAAAGAATGCTGTTGTCGCTGGGTTGGCTCAGTGGATAGAGCACCCGCCTGTGGACTGAAAGGGTCCCGACGGGTTTGATTCCGGTCAAGGTCACATGCCTGGGTTGCCAGCTTGATCCCCTGTAAGGGTTGTGCCAGAGGCAGCCAATCAATGATTCTCTCTCTTCATTGATGTTTCTCTCTCTCTCTCCCTCTCCCTTCCTTTCTGGAATCAATAAAGATATATTTTTTAAAAGAGAGAAAAGAATGCTCGCTAAGTGTGATTTGTGCCTTGTGTTTTCCAGATCAATGTCCGAGTCACCACCATGGATGCGGAGCTGGAGTTCGCCATCCAGCCGAACACCACAGGAAAGCAGCTTTTTGACCAGGTTGGTCTCTGTGAGCTTGAGAGAGAGAATTCCCATTTAGAAAAGAAACTTTTGCAACATCTGAATCATTTTGTTTGCGAAGCATATTCCTTGGTGTGCTGCCTGCTTCTCTCTGTAGAGCAGCCCATTTCCCCTCCCGCAGGGGCTCACGCTGAGAACTCTGTGGGGGTGGCCCTGCTCACAGCTCCGAAGGGCGCTTTCGGGGACATCGAAGGCTTCCTCGGCAGCCCAAGGGTGCCAGGCCTGCCGGTGCCTGCGGGGTGGCAGCACGCCGCCTCCACTCCCCCGGCTCTGCCGCACCCACAGCTCTGGCTGCCCTCTGCCCCTGGCTCTCGTGGTCACCTGGCTGCTGCTGGCCATCAGTGTGGGGCTGGGTGTAGTGGGGATCAGACACCGCCCACGGGCCCGAGAGGGGCCAGGCAGGCCACGGTTCCAGGGTGACCCTCCCCAGCTCCTTCTGACTGAGCTCGCTCAGACGCTCATCTGAGCTGGGCCCCACGGAGCCCGTAGCGTTCCCTCTCGCAGCCTGAAGGTGAAAGTGGGGTTTTAACGGGAGCACCGAGCCACCTGCGATAGCTCTTCCCCGGGACAGTTCCTCAGCGAGCAAGGTCTTCTTTCTGGGCTGAGTGAGTGCTCCGGGGCCGAGGTCCAGTGGGCAACAGGACGGGGTGTATGCAGGCCCTTGAGCTGTGCTCGCCTTTCTGAGGCCCCAGTGGGAGGAAAGCGATGTTCCCATCCCAGCACTAACCCGGGAAGTGGAGTGGGTGCTGATGGGAAGACCTGGGGGGTAAGATTTTAGCAAATCTAGAATCTGCAGTGACTCCCCGCTGCTGGGTGGGACGTCCTCTCATCGCCCATTCCCTGCGCTGGCCCCCCCACCCCCCACCCCCGCAGCAGCCCCAGGGGTTTCAGGGTGACAGTCCTGCCAGTGCCTGCAGGGGTGGGGACACACCTCAGCTCTCCCGGTGCTGCCTCGCCCAGCAAGGATCAAGACATTTACTGCTCTGGGTGGGGCTGGACTTGGTTCAAATTCTAAAGGTTTCGCCTGAAAGGTAATCTTGAAGTCGTTCCATGGAGCCAGCTGAGCTCCAGGGGGTGCAGGCGGGGGAGGGGGCCCAGGTGCTGTGTTAGCTGTGCCTGCAGCACCATGTCCCTCAGTCACGGACAGTCCTTGTCTTTAATGGGTGCCAGGCCGACCGCAAGCAATTTATTTTAAAGCAGAGCTGGGAGGCTCTACGTTAGGAAAGCGGACGGGGTGGTGAGTTAGACTGACCCCTCCTCTCTACCCCGGGAAGTCTCTGCAGTAACTGGGCTGTGACTGGGTCCTAGTCCAGGGCTCTGGTTGGATGAGCGTGTCACAGGTCACAGCCACGCAGGAGGCGGGTCCTCTGACAAGCCGAGGGCACTTGCCCACTGCTGGCGTCCAGAGGGGCGAGGACAGAGTTTTGCCGTGTGACTGTGTGTGCCCAGTGTCTCCATCAGGAGTGTTTTTCAGCTGCTGCTTAAGATGCAGTGAAATAGACAATCCCTGCCTTTACTTCCCAAACCCCTGCCACTTACAACGCCGCCCAGGCCGAGGTAAAGGGCTAGGCCTGCTCCTCTTCCCTCCCCGTGGGGTCAGCCTCGGGTTTGGCCGAGGACACTGAGGGGTAGTGAGGTGTTTCTCTAGGGGTGTCGGGTGCCCCCGCAGGGCGGCTGTTAGGATGGACCGCAGGAGGGAAGGTCCTCTGAGTCTCTTTTGTCATTTGGGGAGCGCCATTGGGATAGAAGCAGGGCTGGGAAACACAGAGGGGCGGGTTCCCCAGAAATCTGTGGGAGGTTCACGTCACGGAGCCTGTGGCAGAGTAGGCACCAGGCTTTTTCACCAAGAGAGTGAAGTCTGGGCTCTGTCCACGGGAGGTTCCAGAGTCTGATGCTGTGGGAAGGGGCTGGCACGCCTGCCAGGTGGAGAGGACTCTGAGCTGTGGCCCTGAGCACCCGCAGGGGCTGACGAGGGGGGAGGGCCGCCAGTGGGGAGGGCCGGGCCAGGGCTGCGGTGGGGGGTGAAGGGAGACAGGACAGAGAGAGGACGATTGCTGGAATGTGGGCTCTCTTGTGCAGCTTTGAAGCAACCCAGACAGGAAGGCAGGGCAGGTCTGACACGCAAATGAGGTGGAGATTTGCAGGAATAAGTCAGCGGCTTTGGGCATAGAGACTCTGGTCTCTGAATTGACTTTCTCTACACTTGGCTGCCATGAAAACAAGACATCGGGTTTCATAAAAGACGTGGGAGGCAAGCGCTGTGTGAGGGCGGACTCTTTCCTCTCTCCCTACCAGGGGAACGCAGGCATCTGTCCCCCAGGGCGGGAAGCAGGCTCGGGAAGGAGTCTAAGGGCATTTTCGACTTCCTTTAAGCGAGCGCTCCAGATCCCTGGTTCCCCATCGCTAGTGTGCTCAGTCTTCCCCTCTAAATGTGGTAGAAGATGCATTTGAAGGACAGCTAAGGGCCCTTCTCTTTGAGCCTAACATTGTACGCCATGGGCTTCAGGACTGCACAGCAAAGCTCCGGACTGGCCTTGGTCGTGTTCAACAAGTGTCCGCAGCTGCATGTCTGGTTCCGAGACACGGACCACCAGCTGGGCATGGCCACAGGAGAGGTTTTTCCTAGTGACACGGAGATTGCCCAGTGTGAAACCCTCGCTGTGACCAGGGGTGAAGTCTCCGTCTCTGGGGCAGAATATGAACTTCCTGGGCCTGTGTGAAGCCGAGACTCCCCGCCCTCCCTGGAAGCGCCACCATCGGCCTCCGTCTTCCCCAGGCTGCTGGCTCCCCGTTCCTGGATGCAGGGTCTCGGGCCAACTGGCTGAGAGGCAGGGCAGCCCGAGGAGAACCCAGTGCGGGCTGCTGGCTCCCCGTTCCTGGACGCAGGGTCTCGGGCCAACTGGCTGAGAGGCAGGGCAGCCCGAGGAGAACCCAGTGTGCCTCTGCTTCACGTCGGCCGCGCTCAGCTCCTTCCCCAGGGGCACCCCTGGCAGTGGCAGGCACTCCCGTGGCACATGCCGCCACTCAGCTCGCAGTGACTCGGGAACGCAGGATGGAGTTGAGGAGCAGGAGTGAGATTTGTAAACCAGAATCTGCTCAAATCGATATTAAAAATAAATCGTTAGGCTTTGGGGTGATGGAATAGCCTGTGTTAGCTGGCTCGGTGTGACCAGGCAGCCGGCACCGTGACCGCGGCCCCGTGACGGCGCTGCTGGTAGCGCTGCCCATTCCGTGTCTCATGGCTGTCGCCCTCCCGCCCTCTCTCCCTCGCAGGTGGTGAAGACCATCGGCCTGCGGGAAGTGTGGTACTTCGGCCTCCAGTACGTAGATAATAAAGGATTTCCTACCTGGTTGAAACTTGATAAAAAGGTAGGTCACAGTTAACTGTTTGCACTGTTACTGGGTGTTGGTCCTCCTTGTTGGCATTGAACTGGAGCACCTTACTCGGACTTTGGCTTTTGTTCCTTTTTATTTGTGTAAAAGTTTTTCCAGACAAAAAGGTCGCAGGTTTCCTGTAAATGGGGATACAGGTTGGCAATCGGACCCGGGCATTTCCCCTCGCTGCTCACTCACCGAGTGTATGAGGTTAATTCTTAGTATTTAGCTGACCTTAGTGTTGTTTTTACAGTGCGGTTATTAATCTTCTAAACCATGAATCACCCACTGTTTTGCAAGAACCTGTTACTGCTTTGTCAGAACCTGTGATAGATTATCTCCCAACTCTAAAGACGGGATAATTCCAGTAACAATTACAGAGAACAGCAAGAAGCAAAATGTGTTTTCTGCAAACAATTTGGAAAATGTCCCTTTTCCAAACCCTGCTCTCCTCCCAAATTATATGGCAGCAGGGGTGGTTGGGGCTGTGAAGGAGGAGGGGCGGGAGCTCCGTGGTCCACGCTGGACTGGCCACATGGCCGGACTCCAGGTTCCAGGCTCATGGAGCAGGTGTTTCGAGTTCGAGTTCTCCCTCGCCCCGTCCCCAGAAGATCGGGCCAGGCTGGCGCCAGGCTTCCCGAGAAGGGAGGGTGTGTAGTGGGACTTCTTAAACTGGCCTTTGGGTCTTACATGTAGAAGGTGACTTCAGCGTAAACAGTCTTTGAAACTGGCCTGCAGGGCCCTCTGAGCCGTGGGTGGCAGCCTGTGCTGGGGGGCAGGGCTTTCTCTCCTGAGCCCGCAGTGAGCGTTCGGCTTCTGTTGTGCAGGTGTCGGCCCAGGAGGTCAGGAAGGAGAATCCCCTGCAGTTCAAGTTCAGGGCCAAGTTCTACCCTGAGGACGTGCCTGAGGAGCTCATCCAGGACATCACGCAGAAGCTCTTCTTCCTCCAAGTGAAGGAGGGCATTCTGAGCGATGAGATCTACTGCCCTCCCGAGACCGCGGTGCTCCTCGGCTCCTACGCCGTGCAGGCCAAGTTCGGAGACTACAACAAAGAACTGCACAAGTCCGGGTACCTCAGCTCCGAGCGGCTGATCCCCCAGAGGTGAGCGGCCGGGCCTGGGGCGGGGCGGGCAGGTGAAGCAGCAGAGAACACGGACGTCGAGGGCAGCGCTCACACGGCAGCGCCCTGAGGCCCGGTGATCCGCCTGGACAGTGGGGGCTGAGCAGCAGCAGGGAGGGGACGTCCTCATGGGCTGTAGGCGGCCTGTTATTTGAGGGTGTTACAAAGTAACCACGTTTTTCACCGTGGCCCCCGCTCCTGGTGTATAATAGTTTGGCCCCTGGTGTATAATAGTTTGGCCCCCGATAAATCTGTTGTTAGTCACTAATGATTAAATAAATGACCCTTTTGGGCAGAAAGGCTTCTTAAAATAAAACGTCCTTTACATTTTTTCCCAGCAGGACTGAGTTTGTCTCTTTCGAGTCTAAATCATCAGATTTTAGTTCGTCCTAAGTAGAATTGCACATTAGGAAGTAGAAACAAATGCACTTTGTGGTGATTTTATTTGAAGAAAAAGTGAAGGTTTGCATGAGGGGACAGAGCCTGTCACTCACCTCTCAGCCCTGCCCTTTGGGGTGACAGTGTTGTGCCTTCTTCCTCTGCCGTCAGAGTCATGGACCAGCACAAGCTCACCAGGGACCAGTGGGAGGACCGGATCCAGGTGTGGCACGCGGAGCACCGCGGGATGCTCAAGTGAGTGTGGCGGGCTGCCTGCGGCCTGTTGTCTGCCTGTGCCCGCGAGGGCCGTCCCAGGGAGGTGACCAGCCGGCTACAGTGAGGTTTCCGTAACAGCCAGTGTTCCCGCCTGGGGTCGGGGCAGAGGCAGGTTGGTTGAAGCCTTCAAGACCCAAACACACACACACACACACACACACACACACACACTCTCTGTCTCTCCCTCCCTCCCCGTCCCGTTAGTCGAGGGGGCGGGGCACTGCTCCTAAGCATCAGGCTTCTGTCTTCCTCTGTCACAGAGGGGCCAGGTTCTTCATTGTCCGTGAGGTGACTGCCTTCAAAAGTAAGTGCAGACAACTGATCCCAAGCCAGAAACACTTGCTGTTAGCGTAGGAAATGGCCAGTCTCTGCTGTCCCTGAATCCTCGCCTCAGGCATGGCCGCATGGTCCCAGACTCAGAGGCCTTTTATAGTTTGGGCTTCGCAGACACGTGTCCTTAGGGCAAGTGGTTCTCAACCTTGGCTGCACATTAGAACCACCTGGGAATCTTTAAAACCCTGATTTCTGGGCCTCATCCTCCGGAAATTGTTTCTTTGTTACTATTGTTGTGGCCCCACCCCATAACAAAGAAACAGAATTTCTGGAGGATGAGGCCCAGAAATCAGGATTTTAAAAAGATTCCCAGGTGGTTCTAATGTGCAGCCAAGGTTGAGAACCACTGCCTTAGAGCTTCCTGTCCCAGCCATGCTGCTTCCTTGGAGGGAAATAGCTCGAAGCCTAAGCCGAGGCTGCTAGTGAGGCACATGGTGGGAGCCCCCGAAGGCCCGCAGGCGAGAGAAGTGGGATCCTGGCAATAAATGGAACAGGAGAGTCTGTGTCCAGAGAAGCCAGCGTGAGTCAGTCCAGTTCCCTCAGAATGTGAGGGATGCCAGTGGTCAGATCGGGGCCGCCTGGGCACGGTGTGGGTGCCAGCAGGACAGCCCCCGGAGCGCGTGGCTGTTGGCCGTCCACGCGACCTGCCTGCGCCTCAGGCCGCCAGGACATCCCCACTGACCATGGTGCGTGTCTGTCCCCCAATAGAGACAGCGCCATGCTGGAGTACCTGAAGACCGCCCAGGACCTGGAAATGTACGGGATCAACTATTTTGAGATAAAAAATAAGAAAGGAACAGACCTGTGGCTTGGAGTGGATGCCCTGGGACTCAATATTTACGAGAAAGAAGATAAGTGAGTTGAACTTCATACTGAGCTTTAGTTGGTGGGGAATGGGCCTGGAGGCAATGGCGAGCATGGGGATTACGCATGCGGGCTGCGTTTGAAGCGGTTACGGGCAGCTGACTGGCCCCGGGGTGTGGGTCTTCGAGGGCTTGCGGCTGTGACGGCCTGGAGTGTGCGTCACTTCTCTCCTGTCTCTGCGACCTTTTTACCGTCACGTGTTGCATGTGCGGAGGGTCCCGCAGGGAGACCACGGAGGTCTGTGACCTCACCCCCAGGCAGCCTGGCGGCTTGGAGGTTTGTGCTAATCCAACTGGGGTATTTGTGGGGCTGCTGGGGACCCTAAGACCTGTAAACAGTAGCCTTTATGTACACAGCCCACCAGGTCATCTGCCACCCGGGAGGTGAGTGGTCTGTTGGGCATGGAGCAGGCCAGGTGAGGGTTCTCAAGAGCGGCTCCCCTGACTTCCTGTGCCCGTCCCTGTGTGCCCGTCCCTGCGCACACAGGCCTTTTCCTGCTGAGAATCCACACAGAAAACATCGTTCTAATTCAGTGAGCGGAGGACAAGCCTAAATTCTAGACTCTTCCCATCAGAAGCTTCCTGAGTGCAAGCGGCCCTGACGGCCGGCTGGCGTCCCAGCAGAGCGTGGCTGCAGGTCTGAGGGTGAGGGTGCCGGGGCTGCCCTCAGGCCTTTATGCCAAGCCACGCCCTTGGGCCTGGGTTCCTGCCTCCGTGCCTGCGGAGCCCAGGCTAGACCACTGACCCAGTGCCCCTCCTGGCCGAAGGCTGTTCCTCTAAGTCCTGGCTCCCGCATGTCCACCTGGGCCTCCCTCTCCCTGCCTGTTCCCAGAGGTTAATGTTCTCAGCTCCCCACACTCCAGATCGCCCACAACCCCTCTCTGGCATTCTTGAGGGGCGCAGTACTGCTTTTGACAAGTGATACCACAAAAGAACCTCTCTGTAATCTCAGCCACTGCATTCTTGCCAGAACTCCACGTACAGGCAGGGCCCCGGTCAGACGATCCTAACCCCTCCACTTGGTGCCTGAATTGGGTGGAGGCGTGGTTGGGCCGCGCTGGGGATCCCTGCTGGAGATGCTAGTCACGCATGCGACGGGGCAGGCCTTCCAGAGCCTAGAGGTGGGTTACGGGGCCTGTGCTCTTCCCGAGTGTGCGTGAGCGGAGGCCTCGTGGATCACATGGGGGAAACTGTCTCTTTGAACTTTCTTGAGTGACCAGGTTTGTAACGCAGCCTGGGCCAGGGCTGTCCAAACAGGTTTTTCAAGCTGCAAGCAGCAGCCTAGGCAGGAACGCGGTGAAGGCAGCCTGTAACACCCCCAGCACACAATGTGCATTTTTCCAAGTAAAACGAGCTGCTGGCTTCTCCGGTCCTAGTCCTGCTCCCCTCCCCCCGGTGAGCGGTGAAACTGGCGACCCTGTCAAAGGGGCCTTCTCCCCAAAGACAATGCTGTGGGGGGGAACCTCCTCACTTCCTGCCTCCCCCCCTCCTGCTGGGGAAGGCATCCCTCTTCAGTTACGAAAACAAGCAGATGTTCACTCAGTCAATAGGCCCAGCTTCTCCTTTTAAACAAATATGGACAATACCGTGTCCATGGCGAGCCAGGGGCTGCGGCTCGGGTCTGAGGCCACTCCTGGCTGTGCTCACGTGGACTTGGTGCCCTTGCAGACGAGCAGTGCAGGGTCAGGTTAGGGTTAGGAGTGCTGGAGTGGGTTAGGGTTAGAGTTAGGAGTGCAGGGGTGGGTTAGGGTTAGAGTTAGGAGTGCAGGGGTGGGTTAGGGTTAGGGTTAGGAGTGCAGGGGTGGGGTAGGGTTAGGGTTAGGGGGGCGGGGGGGTGGGTTAGGGTTAGAGTTAGGAGTGCAGGGGTGGGTTAGGGTTAGAGTTAGGAGTGCGGGGGGGTGGTGGGTTAGGGTTAGGGTTAGGAGTGCAGGGGTGGGGTAGGGTTAGGACTGCAGGGGTGGAATTCTTGGAAGTTGCTCAGATGGGAGACCGGGTACATTGAGGATGTGAGTTGGGTGATAGGTTCGGTGCGCCCTGCAGAGAAACAGACATGCCTGTATTTCACTAAAATGTCCTTTTAGTGTTGAATGTGCTCCGGTTGGGAAGTGCCTCCTGGGCCCCTTGCTCATCGTATACGTGACCCCTACGTGGGAGACGTAGGACTGAGCACTTGTCTTTCTCTCCGTGAACCGTAGGTCGGAGCAGGAGACGGCGGGAGGGAGGGAATTGGCAGACCCAGGCCCTTCCCTGAAAAGCGTTATCAGCCTGGGAACAGTTCAGATCAGCTGCTATAATTCTGCTTGGCATCCAGACCAAGAACAAAACAACAGAACGAGACAAAGAACGAGAGGAACCCGATCCCCCCCCCCTCCCCCGTTCTTTAGTTCTTTAGTCCTTGCAGCAGGGCCAGTGTGTTTCGTAGTCCAGGAGGGACGGTGAGGGGTGAGGCTGCTCCCACGGGGCGAGGCCCCGGTCCGTCCCCTCCATGAACCCTTCCAGCGAGAGGATGTGGGGAGGGCTGTCGACCAGGTGGGACTGAGACCAGCACAAGTGTCCTTTCCCTTCGGTTCCTTACTCAGGATGTCAGTCAGATGCTCTGATTTCCATTTCATTCACGTTCGAAAGGACGTTTCAAGCACATAATAAACCAGCTACTTTAAAGACAATTTCCACTTTCCAAAAGCACACCCAGTTGGCAGGATATGTTAATTCTGGCTGGGGGGAGGGCGAGGGGGGAGGTGCCATGTTGTGCTCAGTGAAAGGGAGGAGACACCAGGCAGTTGTGTTGGCTGTGAGTCTGTTTTACCAGACGTGCGGGGACCCCAGGTGCCAGGCCATTCTCTCCTGGACTCTGGGACCCGAACATGAACCTGGAACAGTCACTTAGTCTCTATAGAAGTTCCCCATGGCCAGGACTCGTGAGACCCTCCCAAGTGGGAAGTTTCAGAGTTTGCCTCAGGCTGACAGAGTTTGGGCCGTGGTTAGACACCTGCCCACCCACTGGAGCCTGTAGGCCTGGCCCCGCTGCAGGCTGTAGGGTGGGAGGTGGGGGCGGCCCCTCCAGGCGCAGGGTGGCCAGGCCACGCTAGTGAGTCCTCCCTCCACGCTGGTGCGGGCCCCACCCCAGCCCTGTTATCTGCCCCAGCCCTGCCTCTGGCCAAGGACTGGCTCTTCACTCTGTAGGACACGGTGATCTCCAGCCCAGCCCACCCCCCAGACCGTTCCTAAACCTTTTAAATGAAAAATCTCGGACACATTGCAAACCGGGAAGGTTTCACAGTGAGCGCCGCGTGCCTGCTGCGGGGAGACCTGGCGGCTCCCACCTGCCTTGTCCTCGCCCAGCAGTGCCCGGGCCTCTCCCTGCACACCTCCCCCACGTGCACATGGCTTCCCGGGCGCAGGGCGTTCCGTTTTCATTTGATGTAAAACTTAAATATAATGAAATGTTCGCTCTTACGTGTCCATTTACTGAGTTTAGACAAACAAATGCCTGTAAAAAACCAAACTCCTGTCAAGATGTACAATGTTGTCATCACCTTCTGGCATATTTTGAATTAAAATTCTTTAGTTCGTTTTGAAATCATTTCAGATTTTTGAAAAGTTTCAAAACCAGTAAATACGAAAGATTCCATGTACCCTTCTCTTAGCTGCCCCAGACTGCCCGTCCAGGTGTCACGGGGGGAGTCAGCACCCAGAGGAGACCTGGCCACCTGTGGGCGTCCCCCATCATAACCGCTGTCCCCCACCATAACCGCTGTCCCCGCCATAACCGGCTGTCTCCCGCCATAACCGCTGTCCCCGCCATAACCGGCTGTCCTTGACTCTCCTGCCCCAGGGTCCCACCTGGAACAGCCCTTGCATTTAGTGGGCCCGCCTGCCCAGCCTCCTTCCATCTGGGCCAGTTCGCTCGGTCTGTCTGTCTGTCTGTCTGTCACGACAACTTGCAAGGAGAAGCCTCGCAGGCACCCACTTGACGCTTGAAAAGTACTGACCGTAACTTAGTAGAAAGCTCCTCAACTTGGGTCTTTTTTCTCATGGTTACGTTCAAGTTTGATACTTTTAAAACATATATTTTTTATTGATTTCAGAGGGAGAGGGAGAGAGAGAGAAATATCAATGATGAGAGAGAATCGTTGATTGGCCCCACTGGGGATTGAGCGCGCAACCCAGGCATGTGCCCTGACTGGGAATTGAGCTGTGATCTCCTGGTTCATAGGTTGACGCTCAACCACTGAGCCACACCAGCGGGTGAGTCTGGTATTTTGGCGAGGACCCCACGGGCGGGCTGTGCTGTCTGTCCTGCGAGGCCTGCGTGGTGGCCGTGATGCCAGGACCTCCTTACTGTGCTGCTGACCTTGATCACTGGTCAGGTGGGGCTGCTGCGCTCCTCCTCCAGCACTTCCTCCCTTCCCAACCCATGCGGGTGTTGGGGGGACATATTAAACTATAAGCACCCCAGTTCTTACCACACTTTCCTTCTAGCATCCCTGGCGGGTCTTGCAGGAAACTGATTCCTCTGGTATTTAAGAAATGCTGTGCCGTTGAAAGGAGGGCGTGTTCATTGGAAGGCTGGTGTAAGGGGACAGTTCCCCGTCCCCATTCTCAGTAGTTTCTGTTGCGGGGACTCGGGTGCTTGCTTTATCCTCTGGGCTCTGACCTCATGCTGTGGTTTGGACGCCATTGTTGTTGAGCACTTTCCTTCCACTTGACGAGTCCAGGGTCGTCCTGCACTTTCCCCCAGGCCTGGAATCAGCTCTTTCTCGGAAGAGCTCTGGTCCCTCTTAGTCAAGAATATCTTTTTTTTTTAAATGTGTGGCCTAAGCAAGAGCAGGCTCACAATATAAATCCTTTAAATCGACGGTCCTTCTCTGTTCATGTCCTATGTGTGAACTCTTTAAAAAAGAGAAAAAGAAAGAAATCCTTGTGGGCGTTAGTTCCAACCATGGTCAGGCATGAAAGGGGTTCTTAGCTCCGATCCTCTGACACCGCAGTCACGCTGATGAATGGCTGTCAGTGTTACACGAGCTTCCAGAGTCTAAAGAGACCAACTTTCCAGCCGCGCCAGAGAGGCCCTAGTGACAGCCTGGCAGGAGCGATGCCTGTCTGGCCTTCGCTCGCGGTTGGACAGCTGACCCTCGGTCCCTGTTGGCTGGGAACGAGCGGCAGCCCCCGGGCTCCTCTGTTGCAGTGATTGCTCGTGCTCCGGAGGGAACCTCCTGGTGTCACTCGTGCGGCCTTTGTGTGAGGACACGGGTGGGAGTCGGCAGGACCCGTGACCTCCTGAGCTCCTTCACCTCTAACAGTTACTGTCCCGTGTGAGAAGCTGGGGTGACAGCACTCCCTGCGTGTGTGTTGGGGTGCTGGGGAGCACGTTGGCCCCTGGGGGACAGGGCCCCGGAAAAGCACCTGCACTGAGAAGGTGACACTGAAGCTGCCCCCTGGCAGTGCCCTGACACCGCTCCTCCAGGCGTGTGTGACTGCTGTGTCCCTCAGAGCGCCCCCCCCCCCAAACACACACACACACACACACATACACACACACACACACGCTCTGCCTTGACCTGGCTTTGCTGCCATAGCAAGACTACATTGCCCACTAGTTTTTATTTGAACGTGTTGGTAGGCAGCGTTCCACCCCACCCCTGCTCTCTTCTAAATGGGGAGTTTTTACACATCTGGGAAAAGACCAGTTTTGATGGCAGTATCCTTGAGTGGTGGCTTAGGACCTGTGTTCCTTCTAAAAGGGTATCCATGGCGACATGCTGGAGGAATAGGGTGGCATCAGGAGGTGAGTAGAGCATGTGGTCTTGAAGTCATATGATAAACGTCCCCGCGTTGCTAATTACAAAGCCGGTCTCTGCCTGTAGTGGACTCCAGTGATCACAGAGGACCGTGTGGGGCTTTCGTTACGAGTGTGGTCAGAGTGTGGAGGTGACACGGGAAGGAAAACGCACCCACACCACGCCCTCGGCTCCTCAGGGAGGCACACCAGTTGTAAACATGTGCCTGCCCAGCACCCGAGCACCTGACTGATCTGAAGGAAAGGCTGGTGTAAGGGGACAGTTCCCCGTCCCCATTCTCAGTAGTGCCCACCTGCAGCCATGGCTGGACCATCCAGACAAAATCCACAGGCACATGGGGGCCTGACCCGGCCAAGGCCGCCGCCTCAGCGAGCAGCCACTCGGCACAGCTGGGGAAGACACCACGAGGAAGCTCACCTCCTGGGTTTCAGAGAGCTCAGTGGTAACGCAGTGACTTACACAGGAGAGTGCAGGCCGAGGGGGAAGACCCGGGGAGAGGAAGTGAGCGGCTGTGGTGCAGGTCGGGCTGGGAGAGCAGGAGGGAGCCCGTCCAGGGGCCTCCGGGAAACCCTGTGTTGAGAGTCTGGGGGACCAGGAAGCCGGGGCTGCTAAGGGGAGGGCTGTGGCTTTCCTCCTGTAGAACCTCTTGCCGTGGGGGGTGACGTGAGGAGCTGGCGAGGGACCTAGTCCTGGACCCTCCGTACTCACAGGCTCTCCTCTCAGCCGGTCCCACCTGGGGCAGCAGGAAACCGCCCTGCTGACATTTTGGAAGAGGGACCACTAATCGGACAAGCCGGCTGACGTAGATGCTGGCGCCGAGGAATTGGTTCGGCTGTCGCCACGGGAAGGCGGGCTTAGGATGCTGATGTGAGGGTGTTTGCAAACGATGGTTGTGAGAGACATTTCAAACGGGTGCCAGGACGTGCGGGGCTGGACATCAAAGATGACCTTGAGATTACAAGCCAGGGTGACTCGATGCAGTGAGACACTCAAACAGAGAAAGACGAGTGGGAATGGACGGGTTTCCTGAGCTTGAGCCTTACAGACAGCCCCCTGCCTTCCGAGGGCGCGCAGGAACACTCGGTAATGATGTATGTCCCATATTATGCTCCCCGGGTAGCCTTATACTTGTTAAAATTGAACAGAGAAAACTAAGAATAGATTTGCAACACCTATTAGTCAATCCGGGCACATCTAACATCTGACCTTTTTTAACCTCAGGTTGACCCCAAAGATTGGCTTCCCGTGGAGTGAGATCAGGAACATCTCTTTCAATGACAAGAAGTTTGTCATCAAGCCCATCGACAAGAAGGCGCCTGTAAGTTCACGTGGAGTCCAAACGGGCGACGAGGAGCCGGGATGCCCAGAAGTGTGTGTGTGTGTGTGTGCGTGTGTGTGTGTGTGTGTGTGTGTGTGTGTGTGTGTGTGCGCGCGCACGGGGCGGGGGGGGGGCAGCAGGTTACATTGAGGGTCCAGGACCTCTCGGGACACGGCCGACCATGGTGTGGGAGGTTCTTGTGGAGGCCAGGTGCCTGTCACCTGAGTTGTCAGGTGTCTTCATTCCTTGGAAGAAAAGAGCCATTCTGCGTCGTTGACCTTTGCCGAAAGCTGAGCCTTTCTGGGCTTGAAACGCTCGTGTTCACGGGGAAAAAGCAGCCGGCCCCCAAGACCACACAGCTGGGGTGTGGGGGCTCCTGGCAGCATCTCGGGTCCCCGCCTGGAGCGGACGGCCATCGCTGCCGGCTCCGGGGCCAGAACCTGCGCTGTCCTTGCAACTTGCCTTGTTAGGAAGTCAGGCCTGCGCCCAGAGCGCTGCTGGGCCTCCAGGGGTGGGTCACGAAGGCCCCGCGGGGAGGCGGCCTGGGCTCAGGCTCCAGCTGCCCTGGGGGGTGACGTGGGAGCTGGCGAGAGACCGAGTCCTGGACCCTCCGCATCTCCCAGGGCTCCCCGCTCGAGGCTGGTCTCACCTGGGGCAGCAGGAAACCAGATTTCCATGTTTCAGTTTTTCCCTAGAAGATAGAAAGGAAATCCCAGAGGCAGGTTGACTGGTGAGGCAGGGGCTTCCTTCCCTCCCCCACCCCGGCAGCTGGGCAGTTTCTGCAGCAACTCCGTGCCCAGCCTGTCCTTCCGCAGGCCGGCTCCTCCTGCCATGTGCACGCGCAGGCTGGGGCCTTAACCGTCGCTGTTCAGCCTGCGTCTCCCTGTGGCCTCCTGGCAGAGGCAGAGGCTCGAGGCAGTGAGCTCTAACCGCTTTTGAAACGTCTAAGAAGCGAAAATTATGTTGGGCTGGACCCTGCTCTGTGCTCAGCCCCTTTCACCGTGACCTTTGCCCCCCCGCCCCACCCCCACCCCTCACGCCCTGGCCAGGGATCCCAGGGT